GAAAATAGGGAAAAAGTGTAATTATAAAAAGTTTGGGATTAAAACAAAGTTGGGGGGTTAAATAGCCAACGTCTATTTTTGACAGTCCAACGACTATTTTTTTTTAAAAAATAGCCGTTGGGACCGTTTGGCCCGCTAAGGGACCGGACCGGTCCCGGGCCCTGACGGGCCAAACGGTCCCGGGCCTGAAGGGCCCAAATCATAGGACCGGCCCACGAGACCGGATTAGGCCTGCTAAACCGGACCAAATGTTCCTGGCCCGTTTAGCCGTTTGGCCCGCGGTCCCGGGCACCCCAGGCCTGGACCGGCCCACTTGCCAGCCTTATTCTCATCGTAGAAATGACACCAGATAATCACTCTAAATGACTGTTATTTAGTAATTAACCATAACATTCTGAATTTTAAATTTTTAGTTTAATTTACCGGGACAAAAATGTCTTGAATTATCCTAAAATTAAGATTTTTAGTTTAAAAATTTAGGACAAAATAAGTACTCACTAGTCTTTAAATAGCATTTATGAGAATGATTATTTGTGCACTTGCTCCCTTCTCACCATGTTGAGAACATAGAAATGACACTATGTAGCCACTTTAAAGGTTGCTATTTAGGAATTGACCAATGTAGTATGAATTTTAATTTTTTAGTTAGGATACAAATATCCTTAATTGTCCTAAAATTAAAAATTTAAATTTAAATTTTTAGGATAAAATAAGTACTAAGTACTAACTAATCTCTATATACCAACCTTCTTTGTTTGTGCGCTTTTTCCGTTAAGAATCTATTGTCGCACCCAATTGTGTTTCTTTCCTAAAATTTGTACTTCCTACTTTTTATTTCAAAAATTAGCTATTCAATATATATTTTAAGCAAATTCTGTATTCTATTAAGTAATTTTTTTCATCCGCCTAAATTTTGGTAGTTGGAAATTAGAATTACTCTATACTTGTATCTATAAGTACAACAACAACAACCCAGTATAATCTTACTAGTGGGGTATGGGGAGGGTAGTGTGTTCGCAGACCTTACTCCTGCCCTGGGGTAGAAAGACTGTTTTCCATAGATCCTAGACTCCCTCCTTCTAAGAACTACCCACCTTACTCTTGGGTTGACTCGAATTTACAACCTCTTGGTTGGAAGTGGAGTGTGCTCACCAATATACCTATACGTATAAGTGTGAAATAAAAATTAGTTAGATACCTAAAAATCCTAAAAAAATTAGCATACACATGCAATAGATTGTGCTTGCATTACTTAGAGATCGATGGGTGGGACCCAGATCACCCATTCCGTGGGCCCCGCACCTTTCCAACCATCCAATTTCCGCCGGGAAATTAAAATCCAATTTTTCTAATCCTTCTCCCCTCTATCCGGCAACAATAGCACATCCAAATCCGCCGGAAAATGAATTCCCGTTTCACATCCCTCGCTTTCCGATCACTCAAATCCCGTCACAATCACCACCACCACTATATCTTACCTCAATTCTTCTCTTCTTCCATCGCCACACTAGCCTCCCCACCTCAATACGCTCAAACCCTCGAGGGACTCCGCCACCGGCTAGCAGCGGAATCACTGACGCTATCGGACTTCATTAGGCTCCAATCGGATAAAGAGTACTCGGTTGAGGTAGGCACGAAGAAGAAGCCGCTTCCAAAACCGAAATGGATGAAGGAAGCCATACCTGGAGGAGAGAAATACACGCACATCAAGAAGAAATTGAGGGAATTGAAACTTCACACTGTGTGTGAAGAGGCTAAATGCCCTAATTTGGGAGAGTGTTGGTCCGGTGGTGAAACTGGTACTGCTACCGCTACCATTATGATTCTCGGTGATACTTGTACCCGTGGTTGCAGGTCATGTACATTACTTTGAACTTTGTTTATGCATTTTGATTTTATTGCTGATTCTAATTAGTTTTGGATTGAGTTATAGTTGATTGATATTAATTTGGATTTTTTGCTGTACATGATCGCATCTTCCGTGCTTAGGGAATCTGTGCTATGGGAAAAGATTGTTTTTTTTCCTTATCATAAATAAAGATTGTTTTTTTCGCGTTGTAAAAAAGAAAGATCAGTTCTTTTGAAAAATTGCATTTGCTGGCAATTGATACTTAGAACAAAGGGAAACACTTCTCTTTTGTTTGGGGTGGGGGGAGTAGGGGAAGGAAGTTATAGGAAGGTGTAAGCGTGATTGGATTCATCTCTTTGCCACTTCGTTTATGTTTCTGTGGTGAGAAAGGAACCGAACTTGATATCTTTGTTGATATGTTCAACAAAGTAGATAACATGGGAACACTTTACCTGGCCTCCTAGACACTACTGAGTACTGTCTATAAGAATAATGCTAAATGAGCTGAATGGTGGAAATGAATTGACATGCGAAAATATTATTGCAGTGGATAGTCTTAAGGAACTGAATATATAACAATAATGGATAGAAAGCTAGTTTAGACTTTCACAGCCATGTTGCTAAGAGTGTAGTGGGTTTTTGAAGGGCTTCTGTAAGAAAGGGGATGAGAAACCAGAAGGTTTCTTTTTTGTTTTTTCATGGCTTATCTCTCTCTTTTTCTCTCAGCGCACCTGTTTTAGTGTACTTGCACAGTTGGTTATTGGGAAGGTTAGAGGAGATGTCTTAAAGTAGCTGGGGTTTAAATTTGCTTTAGGGACGGATAACAAGGATTTTGATCCATGTGAACAATCATTGACTAATTTCTGCTCTTTGAAATTTCAGATTCTGCAATGTGAAGACATCACGCACTCCACCTCCTCCTGACCCAAATGAACCTGCCAATGTGGCTGAGGCCATTGCGTCGTGGGGTTTAGATTACGTTGTACTTACCAGTGTTGACCGTGATGATTTACCTGATCAAGGAAGCGGTCATTTCACTGAGACAGTGCAGAAGTTGAAGGCATTGAAGCCAAATATGCTCATAGAAGCACTTAGTAAGTGCTACTTTTTGTTTTTACATGCCTTCTGAACTTTCTACCCAGACCTAAACCCCAAAAAATTTTGAACTTCATTTATACGGTTTCAGACTTTGTTTGCTCGTGTACCTTTGTGCTTGATCTGATGTGTAAGACAGTCTTTACAAAATTTCAACAAAGTTACTGCCATTAGGTTGATAAACGACAACAATCTGCTTTACACAAATAAGCTGTGCTCCTTATTTTGTTGTTGCAGCGACTGAACAACCATTGCACATCTAGCATTGTAATAAGAATGAAACTTCTTGTCATCCGCACATGTTCTTCAGTTCCTGTACTTCATCCTCTTTGGCTCTTCCTCCCTCTTCCGCTTTCCTTCCCTGTGCGTTCAATTAGATTTGCTTTGGTTTGGTTATCTTCAGCTGGTTGTTAGTGGACCTTGGCTGTATGAGTGGCTGATTTTTCAGCTGGTAGCCTGGCAATGTTTATCCTTTTCTTGTACCCATGACAAATTAATGCCCCCAACGGAGCTCAACAAGCTGAAATAATGACTCTTTCTGAAGTATGAAACTCACATATTTTGTTTGGTCTGATTCTTGTGAGAATCTAGATATTCTATTTGTGAGACATGATTGAAGGTATTACTTCCTTTTGATGTACAATTTTTGACTTATAAATCACTTACAAAAGCATCTATACCTTATTGTAGCTATCCCAAAATTCTAGAAGCGGTCAACAGTCTGTTTGAGTGTCGCAGAAGTTATTGAAAAATGTGTCTACTAGGAAAATGTGAAGCAACTAACTTTATCAAGCTGGAAAATGTGAAGCAACTAAATTTATTAAGAATAAAAAAGGGGTATTACATGTTCTGTTTGAGTGGAAAAACAATATTTTAAAAATGAGAAGAGCTAGTGGTCACAAAATGTTTTCGAAGTCCTATAGCTAATTAAGGATCTGGTTTATAGACAACATTTGTGCTTTTCCTGCTATTGTCTAACTAACTAAATATATACTCCCTCCATTCCAATTTATATGATGCACTTTGACTCGTCACGTAGTTTAAGAAAAAAAATCTTTTGAAACTTGTGGTCTTTAAAACATAAAGGTTAAAAGCTTTTTGAAGCCATAACATTTGTGTGGCTATAGAAGCTTTCATTAAGGGTAAAATAGGTAAAATAGAAAGTTTAAAAGTTAAATTGTTTCCAAATATAGAAATGTGTCATTCTTTTTGGAACAGACTAATAAGTAAAGTTGTCATATAAAATTATAAATTGAAACAGAGGGAGTGCAAATTATCGAAGTTTAACTTTTGTCCCTTTTATTTGTCAGTTAAGCAATACCTAGATGGGCAGTTTGGCAGCCTTAATTAAATTGGTAGTTTGGCAGCGTTAACTAAATTGGAATCTCCTTTGCCTGGACAATAACACAGATCTGACCCTCAATTTTTGGTATGACGGAAATATTTGGCCCCATATTGGAAATCCAGCCAAATACATGTCAGACACTTGTATTCACGAGACACATATTTGTCAAGTTGAAGTGTTCAAGTGATCACCGGTAAAGTTAGCACCCTAGGGTATGGCCTAGGGTCAAGAAAGTGAATTGAGAACCATTATCAGGCTCAAATCCCAATGGAGGCAAAAACTCTAGGTGATCTCTTCCCATCTATCCAAGCCTTGATGGCCATAGGTACTTGATCACGTCCAATTTACACCAAATTAAGGAATATGAAACGGTCGTTCCAATAATAAAACCCAACGCAAGTCGGGGTCGAATCCACAGGGAGTTTAAAGTGGGCGTTGAGGTAAACACTCGAGAAAGAAACTCGAAATAACTAAATTTAGCTTCCAAACAAAAGTAAGTAACTGTTGATGTTTTTATCAAATAGAGAAAGGCCTAGGGTTGTAACCTTAACCTATGTGTAAACCTAGTGGGTAGAGTAAATCTATACTTGCTTGGTAGATCGGGGTTTGTTATGACTCTCAATGCTCAAATACCCACTCAATACCTCTCGGTTAAAGAGTGATTATGCCCAAATTGGCTTTCTCAAGACTAAATGAGTAGCAATCAAAACAATTGAATATGAGTCCAAGTTAGATTATCCCTATCTCTACTTCAAATCCTTTAATCAAACTAATCGATACTTCAACTAGTTCAATTTCTTGTTAGCCGAGTTTTTCTAGACTAAATTCCTCTTTCTCAAGTAAGAACAAAGTCAAATAGGCATGAATCAATGTTTGCAACCATTAATTCTAACTATAAAGCATAAACAAGGCTAAATAACATCAACCCAATCAATAACAAGCTCGAATATTAAACACCTATAAGTTTTACACATTAGGGTTGGATCACAACCCTAGATAAAATCTAGCTACTCATAGTAATTGACATAAAAAAATAAAAAGAATGAAGTAATTAAAGACATAAAACTAAAAGTAAAGTGGAAAATTAGTTGATCTTCTCTAATTGTAGCTCCGAGTTGCCCAAAATAGCTAAAACTAACTACCAGCTGTTGCTACAGTACAAAAGATGCCCTAAAAGTGCTTCACGTCTATTTATAATGCTCCGAAATTCCTGACAAAAGTACCCTCCGGAGGGTTCTGCACTTTGGTAGGTGACTGTTGCGAGTGCTTTCAGTTGGAGGAGTTCTGCGGTTGCACATTAGCTTCTGCGGCCGCACTAAATTGTTGCGGAGCGCACTTTGAGGAGGCTTCAGACTTGTTCGATTGCATCTTCTCTGATCTTTCAGTCTACAGTGCGAACCTCAAGTGCGACCACACTTTTTGGTTTGCGGACCGCACTGTTCTTTGCATTCTTCCTCCTGACTGATCTTAGCTGGAACATTTCATTTTTTAGTTAGATTTCTTCATTGAGCCCACATTCTTCAGCACATCTGCAATTCACACATTTTCATTAGATTCGGAGACAAAAATCACTACTTTCGGACTAAAATATAAAGCAAAAAGGTACTAATAAGTGGTTAAAATCCACACTTATCCGTACTCAGTACTTGTGTTGGTGGGAGGTAGCAGGTATCCTATAGAATTAGTTGAGGTGCACGCAAGTTGACCCAGACGCTACAATTATAAAAAGAAGAAGTGATCACTAGTAAAATAGAAGTGTCTAAGTGACAACCGGTACCAAGTGTGAGGGGCTGTTTATGTATTTGGCCTATCTAAAATAATAAATTGGATTCTAGGTGCTCAAACAGGGACTTTTGCAATAGGGTGATGGCTACCTTTGTCCAAGTGCCATTCTCAGTGTTAAGCATATTTACCTTCTTTCTGAAAGTTTTAATCAAGAAAAGAAATAGTGAATGACATATTGACATTTCAAATTGTACACGTCATACTTAATGTATCTATTTATTTATGTATCTATCTGTCTGATCACATAGTCAAATAAAAAGGTCGTGATATTATCTGATTTCATCCTGCAGCGCCAGATTTTCTAGGAGACCCTGGGTGTGTAGAGAAAGTTGCAAAATCTGGATTAGATGTTTTTGCTCACAACATTGAAACCGTTGAAGAGCTTCAGAGTGTAGTACGAGATCATCGTGCTAATTTCAAGCAGTCCATGGACGTTCTGAAGATGGCCAAGGACTATGCCCCTGCCGGTACATTGACAAAGACTTCAATAATGTTAGGCTGTGGGGAAACTCCTGAACAAGTTGTTAAAACAATGGAAAAGGTACGTGCGACAGGTGTTGATGTAATGACATTTGGTCAGTACATGAGACCATCAAAGCGTCACATGCCTGTTTCTGAATACATAACTCCCGAAGCCTTTGAGAATTATCGAGTTCTTGGCACGCAAATGGTTAGTCTATGCTCCTCATTTTTGTTATCGAATGTCTTCCTGCATATCGTGTTACTGAGTGGTTAATATATTATATACTACTTGAGATGAATTTATTATATCAGAGATGAATAAATTATATCACGACTAAAGAAAATATATTTCTCAATGTTTAATCTGTTTTAAGGTATGGAGGTTGTAAGTTTGCTACTATTGAAAAGGTTCAACTTTGATTAGAAAGTGAGACAAATAAATTAGCTGAAGGCTGAAGGAGCATCATCATAATTAATTTCTTTGCCATTTGTTGTACAATATTGAGTAGTGGCAAATCCTCGAAGTCCTTTTTGTTTCTTCTTTACATATGTTATCTAGCTCATTACTCAGACTGTTCTGCTATTCTCGCACTCTTTCTATTTCATTTTCAATGTTCAGACAACTTATTTCTGAGTATGCAAAGGGAGCAATCTGAAGCTCTTGGGTTTTCATTTACGGAGAAAAGGAAGAAAAGTTTTGTGGTTAAGCGTATAAACTAAAGAAAAGAAGAGAATCGCGATAAGCAAAAATTAGGTTAATTTTGAGAACTTTTTTATTTTAGAGCCTCATACTGATCCAAGCAACAGTGACGTCTTCTTTCTAACAGCGTAGCAGGAGCTGTCTCTGTAGTTCTCCATTTAATTCTCTAATATCAATAAAAGGTAAGCATATTTTCTCTTTTTACCTTTACCTTTGGTGTTCAGCTCCAGGTTATGGAAGAGGGATATCCTGATTTTCTTGATTATTAAATTATTAGAAGGGACGGGATGTATTTGGATGTTATCTCTTTAAGTTAAAAGTTGTGATGGGTTAGTTGGTCTTCTACATGAGTGCATGTAAGGCAAAACCATATTTGACCTGCCACTAGACATCATAGCTTCTGCGCAGTTGGAATGCAAAGGAAGAAAGATTGGTTTATGCCTTCCAAGGCCAGACAGTTGGGATTGGAATGGACGGTCTGAAAGGGGCTGTGAACGTTTGCGGATTATGGTGTGAGTTTGCCTTCCTTTGAGGAGGCACATTATGGTTACTCAGTACTTTCACCGATGAGGGTTCAATGGCTTTAGTTGTGAATGGGATTCTCTCTATTCATTGAGTGAGGTATTATATTTGCGTCTTGGCTTTTGAAGATTTTTATGAGTGAAAAGGTCTGATCTTGCCAGATCATTGCCATTCGTTTAATGTGTGAAGTCCTAAGGGGTTGTTTGGTTGGTGAACAAGTTATACCGGGATTATAACCACGGGATTTATAATACAAGGAAGCAGATGTTTGGTTCATTGGACTAAAAAGAGGGATATATTGGGTCTAATACAAAACACGTGTTTTCGTTTTACACTAGATAACTTGAGATAAATTTGATTTCCAATTTAGTTTAAATCAACTCATTAGCTAATCGAGTCAATTCCGAGTATCAAACATTTAAACTTGTCTTACAGTTAACAGATAATCTGAGAATTACGTCTGTATCCTTGCTCAAAATATACAATGGATTGGTTATTTTTCTTACTTCTGAACGGCATCATCTAGCAAGGTGTAGTTGGAATTGCTTTATTTTTTTGTGACATGATTGAATTTGAAGCTTGAAATATGCTTCTTCACTATATCTTTTTACATCAAAGGCAGCACCAATATGTTTGAATACTGTTTAATATGTGCCTTCCTGTGTTTCTGCAGGGATTCCGATATGTGGCTTCTGGCCCCATGGTTAGGTCCTCGTACAAGGCTGGGGAATTCTATATTAAATCCATGATAGAATCTGATCGTGCAGCGTCCTCGTCCTAGCTTCTTATCTTCAGATGATATATGGCATCTCTTTGCACGGACGCAAATTTGATGGTCACACAACATTTTTTGAGACTGAAACGCTGAGGTAGCCATTTGACTCTTGTTTCCTTTAGCCATGTTTCCTCAAAGGGAGAGGAGCTAAAAAAAAGATGTAGGTATTCAGTCTGATGGGCTGTAACATTTGCCTCGTGTAAGCTGCTATTACATCAAATAATCTCATGCAGTTGTACATTAACCTAGTGTATTATTCTTTCAATTGTAATACCCTTGAAATCTTCCTTGAGCCGAGCGTCTGTTGGAAACGACCTCTCTATTCTTAAGATAGGGGTAAGATATGCGTACACACTACTCTTCCCAGACCCCACTTATGAGATTATACTGAGTTTGTTGTTTGCAATACCCTTGAAGTCTTGAGGCATTCAAAGTGGCAGCGAATGTTGATTTTACATTGTCAATCATAAGTATCAGAAAGCTTAACAGGGAAGTTAGCTAGCGTTTGGTCATAGATTTCCAAATTTATTCGAAAAAATCTGATTTGGGTGAAATTTGGTTTGAAGATGAAAATGTGTTTGGACATCTGTTTTGGGTGAAGTTTGGTTTGGAAAAACATGAAACATGACTTATATCCACAAGTTCTAAAAACTATCACAAATACCCAACAGTACCATTATCAATAACATTCATTATATTATCGCAAACCATAGTCCTGAACATAAATAAATTTGATACAAAATTACTATTTTTATAATGAACTACATGATACACTATCAGAGACCGAGAAGACGAAACAACATCATTACAAAATAATAAATGGTGGGCTCTTTTATAAAATACAAAATTTTGGAGTAATTTTTAAAAAATATAATAGTAATATTTTGGCTCAAAATCAGCTATTGAGCTGGTTTTGAGATTTAAAATTTGGCCAAAATATAGGCAAAATCTATGGCCAAACATGTGTTTGGCCAATAAAATAGAAGTTTATCTTTTTATCTAAAGAAACTTTCTGATTTGGCTACAGTTCTATTTGGTTGAACTTTGTCGGTGGTGCTCGCCTTTTCAAACAAAGAAGATTTCTTAACCTTTTTTGGCCTTGAATCATGCATGTATCATTTAGTATCTTGTGTAGACAAATTTGTCTTGTCATTCTCGAAGAAACGTGATTTTTCATGCTAAGAACAAATTTAGCGATAAATTTACTGTTAGCACCTGAGTTCTTATGGACAAATAAATTGATGTGGAAATTTATAATTGCCAATAAAATACTACTATATGTTATCGTCTCTCGTCATAGTCTAATGTTTTTGCAATCCATTTCCAATCTTTCTTTTTCTTCATTTAGCCAATTCAATCTTTTTGGCGCTTCAATAATTCATTTGTTTGTTTTCTATGTTAATGTTCTTTTGTGGTTGTCAATGGTGCCCAATTGAATTGAGGAGTTGGCAAATGGAATGTTGGAATGGGCATTCAAAAAAAGCACAAATGCTTTAGGCGATGAACAGTGTGGGGGATTGTGGACCTTGTAGTATATCCCAAAGGAGGGACAGATAATCCTCGTGGTATAATGCTTTGGGAAAACTTTTTATTGCTTTTGAGGTCATTAAATTATACGTTACAGTATTTGTGAACCACCGCTATTATAGGCTCAAATTAATCACTCAAAAAATAAACCAATTGAGGGACCCCTCATAATCTAGCATTAAAATCAGTCCAAAAGTTTAATTATTCAATATTCCTAAAAGCAATGTTTATTTGCTATGATGGAGCTATGTTTCTAATATTTCCTACAATGATTACCTACTTTTCCACTTTTTAATTAAAAACTTTACGGACTTTAACCTTTGTTGCTTTAACCAGCACTCAATAAATGAATGCTGGAAAATATGTGGTAGGTAGCTAAAAAGTTCAGGAAAACTATATGAGATTTATTAACTTATACTAGGCTTATGAAGAGGCATCTTGATTGAATCCAGTAGTCAAGAATCCAATGGTGAAACAGTGAAATGAATTCCGGAGGCAAATTTAGGCTCAAATTATGGTATACAATGAATTTATGGAGAAGAGTGATCATTTCTGACAAAATATATTTTTTTTTTCGTGCTACATTCGTATTCTAGAAATCATATATCCGCCTCCAATTCCATCGTCACAGTTACGCAACAAAATCTTTTGCTCCCTTTGGACAGAAACTTTCTCTCCATTCAAACCAAACCCCACATTCTTCAATAAAGCACAAAGCAATACTTTGACAACATCCGCCCCACACTCTTCCCTGGCCCCTGCCTCGACAATACATTGACTAAAAATAAAGAATTTTCTTTACATTATACTCTATATTATTTGGTTCAATAGTTTTAACCATAGCTATATTGTGAAAATAGTGAAATGTCATTATATAAGCGGTCTTAAGTGAATAAATATTTTCCATAGTTTCTAAATCCTGGAGTTTTGAAAAAAGAATATCATAGAATTATTTAGAGCCGTTGAACAGCTAATTAACTTTAAAGATATCATTAATCAGTAAGCAACCTTCTAATAATGAAGTCGCACAAGAATAATGTGACTTCATTGAAAGAGTCGCTTAGTCAACTTCTCTTTGTCCTAACCTATACATTTTCATTTTGAAACACTTAAACAATTTAACATTATTAATTAAAAATATTAGTAAATGCAACTTTTGTTAATTTCAAGAATCTATAAGAAAAACTCAAAAAGTAATATCTGAGCAGGAAATTGGAAAAGTGAAAGTAACAGGGACCATTTTTTGTCTCTATATTTGGCATGGTCCTCTCTAAAGCTGCTCAAAACTAGACAAAACCACACCACTATGCCTTTATTCAACTTCTATCACTGAAGTGTCCATTGTAGTGTACCAAAATGGGCTGCTGTTTTAGCTCTTCCAAGAAACACCACCGCAACCCGCTGCCGTGTTCCGCCAGTAACGACAGAGCTCCACCGCAACCTCCACCGTTGGAGGAAGAAACCGTGAAAGAAGTTCTTTCTGAAACACCCATTCCCAAACCCCACCACCCACCAAAGGTACCACTAGTCAACGACAAAGAAGCTGACTTTCCACAAGTCAAGATTGAATCAACGCCTGTCGTTAAACCCACCAGTGATGAAACGACGTTTGAAGCAACGGTTGTCGTTAAACCCTGTGATGATACGAAGTTTGAATCAACGGCTGTGATTAAACCTGAAGTTTCTGAAGAGCCTTCTGAGATGTGTAGTTTCACTGAGAGCTATTCTACAACGGCGACGGCGACGGAGAAGAGAGAGGATGACGGGGAAGTAACCCAGAGGTCACCCATTAGGGTTTATAGAAAGAGGCAAAACTCCGGCGAGATCCCCGGAGTTAGAGAGAGAAGCTTCCGGTCTCAGCCTGGAAGATCGGCGCCGTCTCCGGAGAAAAGGAGGTCTCCAGCTTCGTCAAGGGGAGTCCAGGGGAGGGGAATGACGGCACAACGGCGCAATGTGGGTCCCCCAAATGGTGGGACCCGACGAGGTACTATCGACAGTGGGGTTCGGCGGTCAAAGTCTCCGGCTACACGTGGACCGGTGGAACAACGTCGGAATGTGAGGTACAGAAGTCCGGCGGCGCGTGAAGAAGAGAAACTTGGTGGTCAATCGCCGGTGAGAAGCGCCGAGAATGGGGGAAGTAGTAGAGCAGAGAAACCCAAAGAAGAGGTTTCGCCGGAGTCCGGCGAGTCTCTTGAAAATCCTCTTGTTTCTATGGAATGCTTCATTTTCCTTTAAATTAGATAAACGTCGTCGTATAAGCTGTTACTACATGTTGAAGGAGTTACGTCATTTTGCTAAACTATGGGTGGAAAATCCGATTGTGTAAATAAGGTAGTAGTATAATAGTAGTACTAACTTTATCTCACTCTCAAGAGAGAAATATTTGGTTTTGTTCTACACTACTCATATTGTCATGATCTTTACTTGTTTTAAAAGTCTTCGGAGCCAGAGTAATCGTATCATGTTACTTAACTTAGTGTTAAAGACAAAATGAGGAGAAAATTTTGAATGTTAAATTTGGGATGTTATATGAAGGAGCTTTTAAGCAAGTCTATCGCAAACATTCATACTCGCCGTCCTCTTCAAATTCTACTTGTGAAATTACACTAATGCCAAGCAATACAATCCTATACAAAAGTGGGCATGTGGATGTGAAAAAAGAAAGTGAATTGGTGTGTGTGAAAGCTTATTGAGATTGTCATCCAAATGGAGATTTGCGAATATGGCAAAGTAGTGTTGGAATGTGAAGCTTCTGTTCCCTCCTTGGGATGAAGTTTCTACCCGAAGCTTTTGCTAGAGCTTACAAGTTACAAGAACATGCGTCTTGTTAAATTGAAGTTTCGGAATTATTGATTAATAATGTATTTGCATGCTCCTATATGAGTCGTGTGATATGTGACATGGAAAAAATAATTAGGCAGCAGTCTTTCTTGTATTGCAAAAAAGGACAATATATACATTTGGAGTCTTGCCGTAATGGTAAAATAAAATTGTTTATATGTGCGAGTTTGAATCGCGAAAACAGTTACTAATAATTACATTATAGTAATCTGTTTATATTACACCCCTTAAGGTACCGTCTGTTCCCGAAAACTGTGTGAATACAAAACTGTGTGAATACAAAATGCCATGTGCGTCGAGCTAACTTATATACGCCGAAAAAGGACCTTGTTATTGTTTACTATCTTTGTCCTCATAAATGAACTGGTAGGCCAGTTTAATTAATGGGGCTTCTTTCTTATTCCCTCCTCTTAGATTCTTCTAGGATTCTTTAGTCATTAATAGCTCATAAGAAAGATGAAATTAGAAAGGAAAAAAAAAAGAGAACGAAAGGAAAAGGGGAAGATTTTTTTTTCGAATAGAAAAACATCATGTCTTGCTTTAAGAAACAAAAATCAGACCCTTTCATGATAGTTTCTTAAAAGTTACTGGCAACAACAACAACAACTCAGTATAATCTACTAGTGGAGTATGTGGAGGGTAATTTGTATGCAGATCTTACCTTTATCCTGGGATAGAGAGGCTGTTTCCGATAGATCCTCGGCTCCCTCCCTCCAAGAATTCCCCACCTTGCTCTTGGGGTGACTCGAACTCACAATCTTTTGATTGGAAATGAAGGGTGCTTACCACTAGAGCAACTTACTCTTGTGTTAAAAGTTACTAGCATTTACCATAATAGAAGTTAATTGTGCATCTCAAGTGATGCACTAGTTTTGAGTCACCTACTTAAAATAATCAAAATTTATCATTCGTGTATCACATTTCAAGTTCATTGTATGTAAAATGGATTTATTCGTTGGGT